TCCTCTTCCTGGGCCCCACCGCTAGTGTCCAGCTTCCCCACTCTGTCCCCTCGGCTGCTCTTAGCACTCAGCATGGCTGCCTACCGGCCTCGTCAACACCCTGCCAGCCCCGCTGCCGTGAGGGGTGTGGTGGGGGGTCCCGGCTCCGATGCTGACCTCCCAGGGGCTTCCAGGGAAAAAGGCGAGTGGGCTTTGGACGTCGGGGAAAGCCTCTGGGACTCCTCTACTGTCCAAAGGGACTCAATGGCCGTGGGTTTGGGTTTATTTCCTATGATTTTGGTGAAGGGAAAAAAAGGGGCTTCAGTGCTTGGCTGCTTACACAAAGGTCAGCGATTTGAACCAGCCGATCAAACCGGCCAATCGATCAGCTTCTGAGATTTACAGTCTAGGTCACAGCAGTTCTCAACCTGTGGGCCTCAACCCCCTTGGGGGTAGAATGACCCTTTCACAGGGTCGCCTAATGCAGCCTGTGTATCAGATATTTCCATGACGATTCATCACAGTAGCAAAATGACAGTGATGAAGTAGCAGTAATGAAAATCATGTTATGGTTGGGGGTCTCCACCACATGAGGAACTGTAGTCAAGGGTCGCAGCATTTGGAAGGTTGAGACCACTGGTCCAGGAGTTCTGCTCCATCCTATAGGGGCCGTAGTGTGGGTCCTGTAGGCCAGGCCCTTGTGAAAGCCCTTGAGGGCCCTACATTCTGATAATTTGGGGGGCTGCCCCTCCGTTTACTCATGCATATGAGTGGGACACGTGTGTGTGACAGATACATGTGCATACACATATGTCTCTTGGGCTGCTAACTGCACGGTCAGCAGTTCAAAACCACCCGTCCCCTGTGGGAGAAAGGGGGGGCTTCTGACTCCCATAAGGAATTGTAGTCTCAGAAACCCACAGGGCCAGCTCTGTCCTGTCCTGTAGGGTCTCTGTGAGTCATGTCAAGTGCCCAGAACACCCTGTTCTCTGAGGACACAGCCCTGCTGGACACGGTCCTTTGAAAGACGCTATTGTTGAAGGTCACATTCACTCTGAGTCACATGCTCTTCACCCAGGGGACCTCCAGGGCTCGACTGTGCCCCCCCCCACTACCCCCATAAGGCTGACACTGACCTGGGGGTCAGGGGGACCCATGGCAATGGCATGTGGTAACCCCCTGAGATGAGGATTTCAGGCAAGGGGGCCGACTCGATGCTTCTATTCTGGGGAAAGGGGAGGGAGTGCTGGCTGGGGGAGGTCTCCATTTCCAGGAGGAAGGAATGCTAGGGAAGGGGCACAAGCATCCTGTGTGATAGGCCCGGAGTCGGGGCCCAGACCTGAGAGCAGGTGGGACCCCATGGCCAGCCTCTGCTCCCTGTTGCACTTGGCGGTGGGCGTGGCTTGGTGGAGCCAGGGAAAGCTGGCTAGGGGTCAGGAGGAGGGGCAGTCAGCCTGGTGGGAAGGGTGAGAGCAATAAGGTGGCACGCTGGCCTGTCTAGGGGGAGCCAGGCCTGCCTGAGGCTATAGATCTGCAGGAGGCTGGCTCTGGAAGGCCATTGCCCCACTGGCGCAGGGGGACTGCCCTCAGCCTGGCCCTGTCCCCCTCCCCAGCATTGCTACCAGTTGTGAGTGAAGCCTTCCGTCTGTCCGGGGAAAGGGCTCTGTCTGGCCTCCTGGCGTGTGCGCCCTCTGGGTTCCAAGGACAGTGCCTGTCACATGCCGGTGGTAGCAGCACCTTCTTCCGATCCCTGGGGGAGCGGGCCTGAGGAGCCAGGCCAGGGCTGGCTGGGCCACCAGTGCCACCCGGCCACGTGCCCCAGAGGAGCCTCCAGGGCAAGGCCCTTTCTGGTCTCTCCCAGCCTCCTAGGCTGGTAGCCACACCCCTTCAGCCACTGCCTCTGTCATCTCCTCTCTATGTTCTGTCAGAACACCTGGCATTGGATTGGGGCAGCCCACCTGGCCTTTTCAGAGGAGCTCTGGTGGTGTCCTGGGTGACCTGTTGGGCAGCTAACCGCAAGGTCAGCAGTTCAAAACCACTCACAGCTCCTTGGGAGGAAATCGAGGCTTTCTACTCCCATAAAGGTTTACAGCTTCGGAAACCCACAGAGGCCATTCTACTCTGCCCTGTAGGGGTGCTTGGGGTCAGTGCCTGTGGGTTTGGCTACCCAGCTCGCCAGGGGCTGTGGCGGAGGGGCCTGGGCCTGGCCTGCCCTGTTTCCACGTGCCATGCCCGGCTTGGCCTCACCAGGGAGAGGCTGATGCAAAGCATCTTATTTTGAGAGCTTGTCATTTTTCCAGTAAGTATGCCCGCCCACCTGTCCTGGGTCCAGTGCCCTCACTGAGCCAGGCAGCCCTCCTTGGCACTATCTGTGCCTGAGCTGCTCCTTAGGGCAGCAGGTGGGCATTGGGGTGGGTGGCCTGGGGAGGTCCCAGAGACCACCGGAGGCCCATGCCGCCCTTCCCTGGCCGCGGGTCCCAGAGGTGGCCCTCCCCTCTGAGCCCCGCCTCTTACTTGGTCCAGTGGCCAGGAGAAGAGACCCGTGTCTAGGACAATGAGCACTGAGACGAGAAGGTGCCGGCGGTGGGTGGGGGTGGGGAGGGTCAGTCAGCTGGGGCTAGGCTCTTAGCTCACTCACCCAGAGGGAAACCCCTGCCTCTCCTTTTCCAGGCTGACCGCTAGCCCCTCCTAGCCCTGCTGGCTGGTTCCCATCTGCCCAGGGAGTGACCAAGCTCTGGCCATGGTATAGAGGGCCCCAACTAGCAGGCTGAGGCACCGGCCCTGGAGGGTGGGCAGGGAGGACCGGAGGCTGGGCAGACGGGGCTGCTGGTGACCAGCATGTCTGGCCATGCAAGCCCTCAGGCTGGGTCCTCGCTGGGGTGCTTCCTGCCACTGGGCACGCGATGGAGCTGCTGCCGTGCTGGGGGGCACTTGGAGCCCCCCATTCTCAGGGACACTGAGGCCAGGGCAAGTGGAGAAACTGAGGCCCAGACAGGCGCCTCCTGGAGAGGTCACACAGTAGCCCGAGGCAGCCCACATCCTTGGGAACCCTCTGCCCGCCTCTTTCCTCCGGAGCCTGACCCCCAACGCCGCATCCAAATTTTGACTGGGCTCTCCTGGGCCAGGGTCCGGGGAAGCATGGCCCTCCCCGCCTACAGCATCTCTGCTGGGCTTGTGTCCCAGGGTCTGATCCTGCCCTGACCTCAAGTCTCATCCTCCCTGCTGTCTGTTTGTCCATCCAGTGTGGGGCATGGCCGACTCAGTGTCCACCCCCAGAGCCTTGGGCCTCCCTGCCTGGAGCTTCTTCCCCAGCCCTGGGCACTGTGCCCCGCCAGCCCTGCCCTGCCTGCTGCACCCCTGCACCGTCCTGACCCTGCTGTGGCCAGACCCTGGCCTAGGCATTCCCTTGGCCCCTTTGACTCAGGCCTAGTGCCCACTTCACAGAAGACAAAACAGAACCCGGGGCCGAGCCAGCCGCTTGTGGTCACAGCTGTCGAAGGATGCAGCTGGGATGGTTCCCCCTGTCAGCTCTCCCCTCACCACCTGCCACCTGCCTGCTGTGGGGGCCAGCTTTCAGCAGGACACGGACCTGCCCTGCTGTCTGTGGGCACAGGCGTGGGGGGCGGGGGGGCGGGAGCTGAGGCAGCTGGGCCTGCCCTACAGAAGCCCCAGACAGAAACCCCAAGGACCCCACACCCTGGGAGAGGGTGAAGGCCCTCGCCCACCCCCCTGTGGCTTGGAGCCTGGCTGCAGGCAGGACACATACAGCTGGGCTTCAGACCACTGTGAGGGCTGTCTGGCTGGGGCTGCAGAGCCGGTGGGAGGTGGTGCCGGTGCCAATGGTGCTTAAGTCGCTGTCTGGGGTCAGGAGTCTCGTGTCCTTCTGGGAAATAGGGTGGACAAGATGCGGCTCACCAGGGTCCCTGTGCTCTGAGGTCTCTGTCCTTTCAGGCCTGACCCTTGACTTGCCCCCGCCACAGAGCCCCCCTCCTTCCTCGTCACCCCCAAGGTGATAGGGTGAGCTAGGCCCTGTCGAGGGAGCAGTGGGACCTGCTGAATGGCCTGGGTTCGAATCCTCACCCTAACTGGGCTTGGTGGGGGCAGGGCCACGCAGAGGTCTTGAGTCCATGGGGTGGCTCCAGGGCTATAGGACACCCCTCCCACCGGAGGGGGCATCGAGGGACCAGGGCTCTCGTGGGGGCCCAGGAAAGGAGCAGCATGTGGCTTGCAGCCCTCAGGGCTTCTGGGATCAGGGAGAGAGGGTTCTCAGCCAGCTGGGTCACAGGCTTCGAGCCTGCAGAGAGCTGTGGGCATGGGAGAAGGGGTGAGGGGCCGCTGCAGAGACGCTGCCCAGCCAGAGAAAGGAAGGGACAGGGGAGGAGCACCGAGGTTGAGACGTGCAGGGCCCAGTGTGTGTCAACGGGCAGGCGAGGAGGCCAGCGAACCCAGAAGGGCCTTCCAGCCAGCCACAGAGGGCAGAGGCAGGTGGTGGGCATCTGAAGGGCAGGAGGGGCTCGCTAGGAGCTAGGAGTCCCACTGGCTCCTGTTGGGCAGGACGTTCCGGAGCCAGGAGGCAAGTTTGGGCGCTGGGTCTAACGGGCCCCAGGGGTGTGCAGACTGGCCATGGGAGCCAGCCAGGAGCTTCCTTCCTGGGGATGCAGCTGGCCCTGAGCCACAGAGCCGCCTGTGGCCACAGCAGGGATGGAACATTAGTGAGTGGGGTGGATGCCCACGAGGGCGATCTGCGAGGTGTCAGGTCCCCACAGGGGTGGGGGCAGGAAGTGACCCCCCCGCGGCCCATACGACTGACAGGAAGTGCTGGGAGGAAGACTGGTGGCCCCAGATCCCAGAGGCAGCCGGTGGCGGTGAACAGGGGACGGCTGGGGGAGCTGGCGCGGAGGGCCGGGCCACGGGCTGTCAGCGTGGAGCCATGCAGCCCACCAAGATGCCCCACAGTCCCTGAACTGCATGGCCTCCCTGGGTCCCAGGACGCCTGACCTCAGCCTGTCCCCAGACAGGAGGACAGCAATGTGTTGGATCAGTGCCATCAGGTCAGTGGGGGCCAGGACACAGTGGGGACCCCAAAGACACTGGCCCTTGAGAGAGAACAGCTCTCAGAGCCAGTGGGACTGAGGGGCCTGAGGAAGGGTGCTGGGTGGACCCTCTAGGCTGCCAACTGGGAGGGAGGCAAGGGAGCCCCCTGGCTGAACACTCCCTATTCCTGCTGGGTGGCCTTGGCGGCTGGATCCTGTGTGTACGCTGGGGCAGGGCCGGGGGGAGGGGGGTGTTGTATGTGTGCCCGGTGTGTGCTGGGGACAGAGAACACAGTGAGGTCCCGCTAGCCCCCTGGTGCTCCATGCTCTGGCCTTGGCGCAGGGTTGGGGACCCGGTGGCCAGCCTCGGGGCCCTGTGAGCATGGGGACGCCACTCGAGCTCAGCAGCTGCTTGGGGTATGTGTGTGGGGGTAGGGGGCGGTGCTGGGCCTTAATGGGGAACTCTGGGCTTTGATTTTTGCTTTTGGTTCACTGTGAGGAGGATTCTGGGAAGAGGAAGGAGGGGAGGGGAAACTGAAAGAGGAGTAATGAGAATTGGAGTGAGTGTCCATGCGTCAGCGTGTGTGTGAGTGTACTTGCATCAGTGTGTGTACATGCATCAGTGTGAGTGTGTGTACATATGTCGTGTGTGTGTGAGAGTGCGTGTGAAGTTTACATACACCTGTGTGAGAGTGTACATGCATCAGTGTGTGTGCACACATCAGTGTGAGTGTGTGTGAGTGTACATGCATCAGTGTGAGTGTGCATACATCAGTGAGTGTGTGAGTGTACATGCATCAGTGTGTGAACATGCATCAGTGTGAGTGTACATGCATTAGTATGTGTACATGCATCAGTGTGAGTGTACATGCATCAGTGTGTGTACGTGCATCAGTGTGAGTGTACATGCATCAGTATGAGTGTGTGAGTGTACATGCATCAGTGTGAGTGTACATGCATCAGTGTGAGTGTACACGCATCAGTGTGTGTACGTGCATCAGTGTGAGTGTACACGCATCAGTATGAGTGTGTGAGTGTACATGCACCAGTGTGTGAGTGAGCCTCCATGTCTGGTCACCACAGACAGGAACTCCCTGACACAGCAGTCACACCAGGGTGGGGCCAGCTTGCTCACCACAGTCAGAGTGGCCTCTGCAGGCCGTCCCGCTGTCACACAGGGACACACACACACACACACACACACACACACACACACACACATAGCCTTGCCCAGGCAAGCGTGAGCAGGCACCCTGTTGCGTCTCCGTCAGCCGCCAGGCTCCTGTGTGTTCTCACAGCTCCTGGGGGGCATCGGGCGGGGGCGGGGGCTGCAGGAGCTGCAGAGCCTCCCCTCTCAGCAGCTGCTGCCTCTCTGGGGACGGAGTGGTTCTCATGGCCTGCCCTGCAGCCCCAGGCCTCAGCCCCTCCGCCGGCTCCTCTGTGAGGCTCTACAGGAGGGAGGTGCCTGCCGTCGTGGTGTGCACACATGCACACGGTGCTGGCGCACACCATGTACACGCACACAGGGCTTGGAGCCTAGCAGTGCCCTGTGGTGTCCACCCTGACATGGCCCAGAACAACCACTCAGCCACCCACAGCAGACCTTGTCCGTGGCCACCCGTGGGTGCTGTCAGGGAGGCTGGTCCTGCCTGAGCCTTGAAGAGTCCACTCCTCAGTGGCAGCCCCCTCTGGGCACCTGCTTCTGCAAAAGGGGATGGGGGCGCTTAGTCATTGGGTAGGAAGCTCCAGGGACCACAGGGTGGATGAAGAGACTGGCCACCCGGGCAGGTGATGCTCTGGGATGCTGTGAAGCTGGTCCCGGCCTGGTGGAGCGGGACTCGGAGTGACATTTAAAGTCCCGACAGTCTGGTTATGCCTCTTGGCTGTCACTTGCCCTTCTCCGACTCCACCCTGAGCCAGTGCTGGGATCCTGGGTGGCCACCAGCCAGGTCACCAGCTGGTGCAGGGCAGGACCAGGGTCATGCTGGGCTTCCCCCATGCACCCTCAGGTGGCGTTGGGGAGGGGTGTTGTGTCTGCTTCTGAGGCAGTGAGGGTGAGCACACAGGGGCCTTCCTGTCCTTCCCACCCAAGGTCAGTCACCGGCCACCTCAGAGCCTCATCCTGTCCGTGGTCAGCTGGTGTCCAGAAGGAAGTGAGCTGGCCTCCTGGCTGCTGTGTTGAACTGGAGTGTGGCTGTACCCGGCCCCCAACTCCCGCCCTGAGCCTCTCCCAGAAGGGAAGCGAGTGGAGGTAGTGGGCTCCCCCCCGCCCTGCCCCTGAACAGCGGCACCCTGTCATGGGTGCATGCAGGCTGGCCAGAACCCCTCGCCCAGTGTAGGGACTGGGGCAGGGCTCCATCTCAGCCGCCGTCGCCTTCTCCCCGACCCAAAGGCCCCCAGTCGCCAGGTTCAACCTTCCATTCCTCCTTGGGGCTCCCAGGTGGCCCCCTCTCACCCTGTGCCAGGCCTGGAGCCCCGCAGGGGGTACAGGACACCTCTGTGGTCAAGACTGCTTACTGCAAGACCCCTTCCACATGTGGACCCCTTCTGGCTCTCTGTAGTTGTAGACTTGCACTTCCTGTTTGCAGTCCCCTCACACCTGTGGGGGTTGGACATTGACAAGGAAGATCAAAGAAGCACCGATGCCTTTGAATTGCTCGGACTGCCAAATGAACCAACAGACCTGCTCGGACTGCCAAATGAACTAACAGACCTGTCCCGGAGGAAGTGCGGCCAGAGCGCCCCTTCGAGGCGAGGACGGCGAGACCTGGCCTCCCAGACTGTGGACAGGTGGTCAGGAGAGGCCAGTCCCTGGAGAAGGGCATCGTGCATGGTCAAGCGGAGGGGCAGCGAGAGAGAGGAAGGGTCTCAAGGAGACGGACGGACACCGTGGCTGCACGGATGGGCTCGGGCACAGGGGCCATAGTGAGGACGGCGCAGGACCGGGCAGCGTGTCCTTCTGTGGGTCAGTATTGACTCCATGGCGCCCGACCACAGCAACAGGTCCCTCCTCACGGCTGCGAACGGAGCAAGTCCGGAAGGGATGCCGTGACTTCTCCCTTCCGCGTCTGTGCCTCTTTCCTTCGGGGTCAGGCCTGGCCACGCTGGCCGCAGCAGAAACGGAACAGAGAGCAGACTAGCCCTCTCTCGTTGCCATCTGTCCATCCTCTCACTGTTTTGCTTTTTGAAAATCATTTTATTGGGGGCAGATACAGCTCTTATCACCATCCGCTGTGTCAAGCACATTTGGACATAGGTCGCCATCATCATTTTGAAAACATTTTCTTTCTACTTGAGCTCTTGGTATCAGGTCCTCTTTTTTCCCCTCTGTCCCTCACGAACCCTTGATAATTTATAAATTATTGTTATTTTTTCTTGTCTTATGCTGACCGATGTCTCCCTTCACCCACTTTTCTATTGTTGATCATGGTGATCGGTTACCCCTTTCTCCCCGACCTACCCCTTCCTCTCCTGGTATGGCCACTCTCATGATTGGTCCTGAGGGGTTTATCTGTCCTGGATTCCCCTCTCTTCGAGCTCTTATCTGTACCATGTACATGCTCTGGTCTAGACAGGTTTCAGGTGGGATTGGGGTCATGCTAGTGGGGCCGGGGGGTGGGGGAAGACAGACCTCTCACTGCTACAAGTGGTGCCGGCTTGGGGTTTCTTTCTCTTGCTGCCGTCGAATTCCATTCTGACTCTGAGTGGCCCTACACGACAGGGTGAAGCTGCCCCTGTGGGCTCCCAAAGCTGCCAGTCCTGATGGTAGCAGACAGCCTCCTCTTTCACCCTGGGAGCGGTTGGTGGATTCACACTGCTGACCTTGTAGCCCAGCCTCGAGCTCACTTTGCCACCAGGACGGTCACTGGGCACTGAACCATTGTGTCACCGGGTGAGCCCCCTCCCTTTCCCTTCGGGTGTGCTGACCGTCCTGCTCACGGTGGCTTGCTGACTTGCGGCAGGTGTGTTCTCATCACCGTGAGATGGTGGCTGGGATTTGATTCGGGGAGCCCGGGGGTCCTGCGTTCGTTTGACTTGGGGATGCCCAGCCCACCCTGCCTGCCTGGGACCAACCCCACATGGTCACGGTGTCGAATCCTCTCCATAGGTTTTAAGGGGTAGCTGGGTTTTCTCTGCAAGCCTTCTGTCGGGGATGCTGGTAGAGGTTTTTCTGTCTCTGTCTGGGTTGTTGTTGGTAGGGGCCATCGCGTCCTCTCCAACCCATAGCGACCTTGTGCACAACAGAACAAAATATCGCCCAGTCCGGCGCCATCCTCAAAACTGTTCCTGTACTTGAACCCAAGTTGCAGCCACGGTGTCCGTCCATCTCATCGGGGGCCCGCCTCTCTTTCCCCGCCCCTCCACTTGACCAAGCGGGATGTCCTTCTCCAGGGACTGGTCTCTCCTGACGACATGTCCAAAGGATGTAAGAAAGCTCCCTATCTTTGCCTCTAGGGAGCACTCTGGCCACACTTCTTCCAAGATAGGTTGGCTTGTCCTTTCGGCAGTCCCTGGTACTTTCAGCGTTCTCCTCCAGCACCACCGTTCAGATGCCTCGATTCTTCCACGGTCTCCCTTATTCAGGGTCCAGTTTCCCGTGCAGATGAGGCGACGGAGAGCACCATGGCTTGGATCAGGCACATCTTAGTCCTCAAAGAGACAACCTTGTTTTTCAACACTCTAAAGAGGTTTTGTTCAGCAGATTGGCCCAAGTCAAGGCATCTGGGTTTGGTGTCATGGTAATATTGACC